CTAATTAATCGGGGAACACTGTTAAACATAAAACATCATAAGAATATAACGTTATTAAAATAGACAATTCATTGAATAGTTTAATTCAAGAATTATTTAAGTACATATTTTACTATATTATACAAAATAGGAAAAATGATACACAAAATATATATAGAATGATTAGTTAGTCCGTTCTGCTCTATCTACATTACCTACGTGTTTCATTATAAAAAATGATATTTTTCACGCACTAAAATAATTATTAAAATGTCGTACATTATTATTTCATTTTCTCAAATAAATCAAAAAATAAACTAGCGTAAACAAAACTACAATTTGTCTTGTAAGTGAAAGTATAATTACGAATATCGTGATTCAATTACTCATGACGAAAATAGTTTGACATCACAATCAACGCAATGATGATACCAAAATATATTTAATTTTAATAAATACATCATCAACTTCTTAATATCTGTTCACACACATCAGGTAATAATACTCATTTGAAAAATACCGCGAGATGTAATTATATCATTAGACTTATGAATATGCCGTTTCATTAAAATGATCTATAATTTGACGCTATTTTTTACTTGAAGAGAAATATACATATATAAATAATTTATGGAATTAAAGAAAAAACAAGCGGGTATAGATTAAGTGAACAGATCCATCAAGTAGGTGTAACCATGTTTTCATCTTTATTTCAAATTTAATGTCTTAATTAGATTTTTTTGTTATATATGCTACAAAAGTACGGTAATAGACTTAATAAATATTAATTAATTTTATCACCTAATGAACACATTAAAATAATTATTTGATCAAGCTATGTAAATTCAATGGAATATTTATATTCGACCAAATAAATTATGCATCGATTAGAAAGTAGCTAATTCTGATGATATATGTTGATGTTTCATTAGAGCATGAAGTTTTTCTCATAGAAAATCTTAAGTCATTGCTATTAATTATTGTTAATTACTTGTGATTATAATTTAAATTTGTATTTAATTTCGTTGTAAGATATATGTACATAATTTATTTGTTGTTTTCGAAAGTGCAAAGAAAATTTATTGAAGCGTAAGAATAAAGATGAGGATGATGAAGCTTATATAAAATTGGGTTAAGGGATGCAAACCGTAACGTAAAAAAACTTCTAAGATATAAAATACTTATATGAGCTCCTCAATTTTTTTATGATAATACCGAGCATATAAATTTTCATATCACATTCTTCAACAATCCCCTAAAATGATTATTATGTCCCATAGTCTACTAACCTGTTGCATTTGCGTGCAATTTCAGTCCCACAAGACATAGCCTTATGTCACCGCAAAAAGTTTAAAGTTCAAGCATTTTCACGCTGTACTGGATTTATATTACCTTGTAACGCACAAGGGTAGTTTTTGAAACACCCGCACCCTCGTCATTTTAAACATATGCGATAAAAGAAACTTTCAAAAAATCTACCTACTGAAAATGTATATTTTCAAGATTTTAAAATTTATTGATATTACAGTTTTTTTCATTTATTTTCTTGGTTATCAATTGTACCATTTGGTTACAATGTGTTAAAAATATATAATTTGATTATATTTAGTAATCAATGCATTTTTTTTGTTATTTTGCAATTGAATTTGAAGCAAATTAATATATATAGAATTTAAAATTTGTCGATAATAATAACACGAGCCGAAATTTAATGATTGTACTATTTTATATTGTCTGACAAAAATGATGCACTTGCGCACTTCTGTTTACTGCGTCATCATATTATAATATCATGCAGGACGGTTTACTTGTCCAATTGAGACATAAAATATTTTAATGTTGTTTAAGATCCTATTAAAAAACGCCTATTACTACATACTCTTATTATAAAAATCTTCTAGCTCCTCCAAAAAAATTAGCCATTTTTATTATAGCCAAAAATTAAAACATCGAACTTTCAAACGTTTCACCACTAACTCGATATATCTAGTGTAGCAATTAAACTTTTATAATAAATTTAATTCACGGCTGTGGCAACTTGATATCAAGCAGTTCTGGCAACTTAATCTAAATATGTTTGAAGTAAAAATAGCCTTCAGGGCCAATGCTGCAATCACTATTAGAAATATTCAATAAAAAACACACCACAAAGACAAAGGAATTATAAGGATTATAGGATATGTTATTATTTAGGACAGTATTCTGATATTTTCTACATTAGGAACTTTCCTTATATAAAATTTCTATTTCCATTCATGTTATTTTATTAATATTAAGAATGAGTATTCTTAATCTGATATTTTTCTGAATTTCTTTTCTAATACGCTGTAATTTTACTATATTTTATATTAGCTATCAAACAGCTTGTGAGCAAAAATGATTTCGTAATATAGTGCCGATATGAAATATGAACCTGTCACAAGTCGGGCGATTTTATAACCTTTCAAGATACACCGTCTGCGTCAGTCTTGATGAAAACTGTAAATTATCGCAAAAATATCGTGAAAATAATGAAGAAAAACTTCATTCAGCTCTGAACTGAAGCGACGAGCGATATTAATCGCGAAATGATTAAAAAGAAAATAAACTCTGGACGTCGCGTCGCGCAACTCTGTGTCAGGACTATTGATAGTTTTATGTGGGAAATCGTAAATCTTTTGCACTGGAAGTTTTATTCAGGGATTAATTTTATATTAAAAAAAATATATTACATAAAAATTTTTTTATGAAGTTGACGCGCTTAAAATTTCTTATTGGTTCAATAGTATTTCAGACAAGAACAATATTTTTCATAATATTTCTGACGACCCGAATGTCACAATAAAAACTTATATATACTTAAACTAAAAAAATTAAATTTAAAAATAATAAATTAAAAAAATTTCCTATTTTAAATAATATTTTCAATAACCCATTTTCAAATGTGTAAATTGAAACAATTTCATTTTTATTAAATTTCTTCATAAGACCATTTAAAAGTTTTTTGATCTGAAGTTAAAACGGTACCAATCGAAACTTTCTTAATAACAGACATAGAAATATAACGTGGATCGTAAGCAACTTAAGTGATTGTGTGTGAAAAGAATTAATAAGAGTTTGTTTGATAAATATATCTGGTAAGAAAACTATAACGGCTATAATTTATCTAGGAAAATGGACAATATTCATCTGGGTGGTATCTAATTGAACTCAGTTATGTATTTCTTTGGATAAAATTTCTAGGCTTTTGAATTGAAGAAATCATGGACTAACAACATGGTTTAAAAATATTTAAATGAAATAATTTTATACATTTTGAGACTGATAACTTTTTATGAAAGCTTTTATACAAGGCAACCCTCAATATATTAAATTTAATAAATTAATGTATTCAAATAAATATTGCTGATATTGTATACAAAGAAAAGGTGTATCTTGGTGTCTGATAAATTAATCTGTAGGTATGTCTTATCTATGAATTTTGGTTTTATCCAAAAAGCTCTGAAATTTTACTACGTATATTTATATAAATGTAGTTTATGTGAATGTATGTGAATATATCGTGTGTTGGGTATAGAATTTCTGAAGTCATCCAATAGGATGTTACATAAGATATTGTGTCGCAGATGTGGTTCCGTTACAATATTGGTCGCGTGCTAAAAGGGTTTGGGTTTGGGGGCCCCTTGGTAATAGATTATAAGTTGTGACTCGTGTCTTTTATATATCCAACACACCTCACATAAATCGATCCCGATCATAATAGAAAGGAATAGTTTCTCCTTCTATAATATATACTTACATACGTCGTTATTCGGAATAAATATTTATAATAACACATAAAAGAATAGTGAGAGCAATGTTGAGTAATTGGACATGACTAATTTGTAGTGAAATAAAATTTACTATTCAAGTTCTTAAGTAAGAAATTATTTTCTAAGCTGAATAATGAAATTTCAAGTTCTTTTTTCCCGAACATCTCAATCAGTATCTTTCTCCAACTCGATAATTTATCAGGAGATAGCAGGAATTCAAATAGCCTCATCTCCGGCGGTCGGGGTGTAAAAATAAGAAGCTTCACAATCCTTTTTGTGTTTTATAGGGTGTGAAAGAGACTGGCGTGGGTCAAATCTATTACAGGCGGGTATTTGAATAAGCTTCAACCCCTTGGGTGTACTATACGATAACACCCTGTGTCCGAGGCTTGAGCACTTGATAAACGGCTGTCCGGACAGCTCACCGCACTAACGGAAATCAAATGTGCTCAAATGAAATGAACTGTGGTAAAGGATAGAATATTTTTTATTTAAATTTGTATGGGGAAATTATTAATTTATTGATCGACAAAAAAAAACATATTTCTATAAATAGTAGTTAGCTGGAATTATATTTTAGATAGTATAATTACTGAAAATCGAATTGAAACATTTTGCTCTATATTATAACATTTTCATATTTTTGTTATTTTAAAGTTTATTTTTATTTTCATTAGACGGTACTAGTTTTATTTTACTGACTTGGCATTAAGTGATTTGAATAAAAACAAAACTTTGAGTAAATGTTCAGTGATTTTTTCTATTTTCACCCACGTACTTTACTAGTGCGACAACATGTTACGACACTGATAAAAGCACGGTAGCCGATCGTTCTGTGACAAAAGTATAAAAATGACCCTTTCCCTGGTCGTATCGCGGATGTGAGCACCTCCACTGGTGTTTATAAGGGAAATAAGGAAATAATGGAATAAAAGAGGGGCTGTTTAAAAGGACTGACCGAAGTCCTTGAGTTATCGTCCCGTAGTCAGGCGCGCCGCATGTGCGGACTATTTCTATATGCCGAATGAAGGGAATCGATGGTGTGCCAAGTTTTTGTCAGAAGACGAATTAGATAGGCGTTCGGAGACTTCATTATGTTAAGTGTTATGTATGAGATAGAGAACTTTATACGTGATAATTTGGAAATGGAGTGATATTTAATGTAATAGAACAGTAACTTATAGAAATACACTACGCAAAGAATTTATAAATATGTAAGAAATATCTTACCGGGTGATGCTGGTAGACCTAATCGTTCTCTAAGCGCTTGTGGGTTTGGTATTCTCCATGGTGATGACGTCGGTTCTTCTGGCCAAAGTTCACCTGAAAATAAAATTCTTAATTTAATACTACAGAAACAAATATTTTACTAATATTTATTTTTGTTCATAATTCCTTTACCCAAATTGATAATTCGATAGACGACATCTTCGATTCCCATTCCTATGTTATCTTAACAAGTTCAAAGGTATACAACGGCAGTGGGTGGAAAGTTCAATTATCCCCGCCAAATTCTATTCAGAATAATATGTACGTCTCTCGTTTGCCCCCAACTACCCTCTTTGTGCAAACATCCGTTTTGCACAATCAACTTTCACAGACACACAGGCCACGATTCATGGATGCAGAATTAATGCGCAGATATAGACTATTCTTCTCAAATGTAATGAATCAGAGGAAAAATAAATTTGAAAGAGAAATACTACATGCAATGAAGAAAAACGATGTTTAAATTATTATACCTCTGCCTTAAATGTAAATCTAGTTTTACAAATGATTTTATTTTTATAAATTTTGAATTCTTTTGTACATTATGGGCTTTAAACTATTTTACACTTATGCTATTCACGGCTTCTGAATACGAGTATATTCAATTACAAGTATATGGTCATGAAAGTGTATTGGCGTGGATAAAGATAGCTCCTTAGTTCCTTTTCTGTGAAGACATAGCTACATTTCATTTCTGCCTTTTTACCCACCTTCGACCATTAAATCTGGTACCGGGAAAGATTCATTCCGGCAGTGAACAGTGTTAAGCGCGCACTTCTTTTCCATGAACGAATGACGCAATAAAATCGGAGAAGGTGTGATTGGAATAGAGATCGGGAATGCGTAATCAATTAAAGGTACTAAACTCAAAACGCACTTAAATCAAAGGTTTATTGCTTTACGATAGAAGGATAGACGATAGACGAATTCTCAAGTTGAATAAAAATACTAAATTTATATTGATATTAAATCATTCGCGTAAAATAGGAAAAAGAAAGCGAAAAGAGGAAATAAAGAAAGATGCTGAAGAGCAAATAGAGGTTCGACTTGCGGTAGAGGCTAATTAGGTGTTATGTCTGATCAGAAACATGAACTCTAACAATGTGACAAAAACAATGTGGAGAGTTTTGAAGTGGACAGGCAAGGTAACCAATGAAGAAGTTTCGAGAAGAGTGGGCGAAAGAGAGAGCTCTACCGAGCACTATTTGAAGAAGAATGCAGATGATTGATGAATTACGCGAGAAAAGAATATACAGGGAACTGAAAGCCTAATCACAGTCCCTTATATTGTGTTTACTAAATTGACCATTCGATTCGAATGGATCAAAAAGTATGTTGTTAAGATAGATTAAAAGTGTATAGAAGTTCGTGATTCACCGAGATGCTGCCGAACTCTATTAAACCACTTGCACTTTGTCGAAGGACCAGATATACTTAGTCGGTGGCTATATCAGACCGAATAAAGATATTATTAATAAAAGATGATGAATAAATGTTTAATTATTGTGTATTTGAAATATTAAGACTTATGGATGTTAAATGTTATTGATTTGAATGTCCATTTAAGACTGATTAAGATTTAAGATTTTGGGACAGGATGTGTGACAATGAAAGCGATTATTTTATCGTTTTAAATTATATAATAAGGGATATGGGTTTATTACCGCTATCCTGCATGAAGGCAACAAAAATATAATAATTAGACCAGGGTTGGGAATGAGGCGTTAACATATTGATTTTATATAATCAAATCTGATCAGAATTAATGTTATGTTAGAAGTTTTATTTATTCATTTATTCATAGGATTTTTGCTGAATAATGTTGCAGCTTTCAAAATGTCAAATGATTAAGTAAATTTCAATTTATTCGTCGTTTCTGGAAATTGATGAAATTACCGATCTGATAAAATAAAAATATAAAATTTTATT